GTTTGTTTTTGACTCCACAAGACAAGGCACAAAAGATGCTTCAAGTGAGTCACGGTGATAAACCAGAGTGTTTATCTAATGTGTCAGATTTTCCAGAAGTAGCTGACAATGACATGCACTCAGCTGAACAGATTAATGCTTTTCTTGATGAAACAATGCAACAAACGTCACTCTAGCCGTTTTTATCCTGGAACATCACAATGTCACTCTGGTGCTGTATTCAGATCATTTTGGAGGATTTTGGAGGAGTGGATCCAATCCAAGATAATCTTTTAGGATTAAAATTGTTTATACCTGTTCTTACTGCTTTTCCCCCACATATACTCTGAAAGCAGATACAGAATTTTATCGTCAAGTATGGTAAAAGTGATCACTGGTGGAGAGAAAGTCTACCCACAAATGTTATTCTGATGAATGAGAACTAATACACTTAATGGTCCTTTTTTGTGTCATTCTTGAATTCAGTTATTGTGATACTTGCTCTACTATGCATGACAACATTATATTATTTTCAATTTTCTATTGTTTTCTATTTGAATATATTTTAAAATGTAACTTATTCTTGTGATTTCAAAGCTGAATTTTCAGCATCATTATTCCAGTCTTCAGTGTCACACCATCCTTCAGAAATCATTCTGATTTGCTGATTTACTGTTCAAGAAAGATGTATTATTATCAAAGTTGAAAACAGTTGTGATGCTTAATATTTTTTGTGGAAACAGTGATAGATCTGTTTCAGGATTCTTTGATGTCTTTACTGTCACTTTTGATCAATTGAATGCATACTTTATGAATAAAAGCAAAGGTAGTGTATATATAAATATTTATAATGAATGATATATAGTATTAATGATATATATACTGTATATTATTATGGTATCTTTATCATATAAATCTAATAGAACATGTTATGGTTGGAACTAATTGCATATTTGGAGCAATTCAAACCTGTAAAAACATTTGGAAATTGTTGAGGCTCAGAGAAAAGTGGTAATTGCACATAAGAATTTCATATTTCATCTTATGAAATATGTCAGTACATTCCTTTGGTAGTGTGGGTGCATAAAACAGCCTATAATCACAGCATAAAATAATGTGATTTAAATAGCATGACAAAACAAACAATTATATGAATACTGCAATGATCCAAAGTCACCGAAGCTGCAATGACTTCAACAGGAATGATAAAGCTGACGCTACACCGAACTTTGAGAATGACATGTCTGTTATCCAGAGTAAAATGCTGGCATGATAGAATGTGGGTATAATTTATTTGTCATTTATTTAGACAACTCCTGCAACAAGAAGAAACAACAGCTGAATTTCTTAGTAGAGACACTGATGCTACATTTTTCTTCAATTTAAAATGGAAGATTAGACAGGAGAAGCCAGTGCTGTGCCTGAAGGATAATGAAAGTTTTGTCATCTCCCAACCATCTGCCATGCATAATTTAGCCATTGAATTTTACTCTCAACTCTATGCTGCTGATGAATCAGTGATGGGCTCTTCCAAAAACACCCAAAGCTGGAAGATTTGCACAACAAACATATGTTCCAGGAGAGGGTCTGTAATACCTGGAGAAAGCTCTGATTGGCTCATGGCCCCATAAGAACATACACAGTCCTCAAGGCTCTATACTGGTGATTATCTTGAGTTGTGACATCAAAGGCAGCAGAAAAAGTCATACTTTTAAGGGCCCTCCAGAATTAGTCATTGGTAAAATATCTACTGTAACTGAAATATGTGTTATTTAAATATTTCTAGCAACAAATGTCGGTTTGTTAGAGTACACAGATAGTTTTAAATGACAAACAGAGGGGAAAATGCTTGCTAACCAGTAAAACCTTGACTCGATGGTTTCAGACAACGACTGTGGACAAAAGATTCTTGGTTCAGACCACAGTCCTGGATAGATTTCTTCATGAAATTCGTGAACCTGCAATTTACTTGGACAAGTTTAAAAGCAATCAAGGTCAGAAACCTCTTGGAAAGCTTTTTAAGAGCTTTAATTTCTTAACAAAAATGATCTGAAGAGAGCTGAAACACTAGAGATCAGAGAAATCGAATTAAGAAATAGTTGACAGCACTTGCAGAATAATGTTGATTACTGTAAAAAAAAGAAATGTGAAGATGAATGGGGCCAATCAATGTTAAAAACTCACCGTTTCAATAATGCAGCCACGAGATGTAAACAATATGCATTTTTATCATGACTTTAAATGCATAATTCAACCTAAAATTTAAATGTTAGGAAACCCATACATGTGTGACGTTAACGTTCAAAAGTATCAGTTTTCAAATCCTGCAGCATGTTAAAGTTGTTTTGAAGTTCCAACACAATATTATGCAATGAATTGTGCAAAATTAGACTTTCTTAATCAAAACTCTGGCCGTGTAAATCATACTTTGTGTGGAAAGGAACATAAGTTGTCGGAGTTTTGGATGAACTATCCCTTTAATGAGACAAAATCATTTACAAACTTTTTTTGTGTGGTTATATTACATTTTAAAACTTCATTACCATGACTATAAAAGCCTATAAACCCTAAAACAACTGTAAAAATTATTTTGAACAGACAAAATTGTGATTTTAACAGAACAATCAATGTTATAATGTCTATTAAAATTATTAACTTCAAATTTCTGCTTTAAATCCTCAAAAAATTGGCCACATTGGCTCCATTGTAAATGCCTCACTGTAACCTTGAACATATAAATATATACAGTATATATAATATTGTTGGCTGTCATCAACATTATGCTACAAATACTGTCGATTGCACTTCATTTATACTGAACCCAAAATATTCCCAAAAGAGCAGACCAATTGCATCAAATGTAGTGAGGCTTGTTTGGTATAATTCAAGGTCGTCTCAAAGGCCATGCTATCTTATTAGAAAAATATCTTATTGCTTCCTCAATGTTGCATAAAACGACCATTTAGAGCCAGCTGTTAGCATCATTAAAGACACTGAATGGCTTTTGTGGACGTTTGCTGGTCAATGAAGCCTCCGTTACCCAGACTGAAAGGGTGGGCAGGGATCAATTGCTATTTCTTTTGTCAGATTCCCTCCTTTACGTAAGAGGCCTGAGCCGGTGTTCTCCTGAGGAAAGTGAGAAAGCTGGGCCTAAACCACCATCTGTTTTTAATGAATCGTCAACGAGTGGACCTGACCAGCCTGACACCTCTCTATAAGACAATGCTTCAGGTGTTGACCTAATCCACAGCTCTGCTCTGGCCGTGATGAGTCTGGACACAGTGTCAGCCACCCTTGTCGATTCAGAAAATGAGACACTTTAGTGCCATGTCGCCACAGCATTAATGTGTGTCATTTTTTGAGCGAGTAAGCATGACTGTCTCCAAGCACATTGCAGTATGGCTCAGGATAACATCATTATGGGAAGTGGAGAGACCAGTGACTGAGATGCTCGATGTTTTACCACTAAAAGTTTAGAGACAGAAGTGCAAAGGAACAGTGGCTGATTCTACAAGAACAACATAATCCGTCTTTTCGCATCCATGCATAGAAATACTTATTTTGTTGTGTGTGTGTTTAAAGTACAACCGGTTAACCTACCGTTTAAAAGTTTGAGGTTGGTAAGATTGTTTTAATGTTTTTTGAAAGAAGCCTCTTATGCTCACCATTGATATTTGATCATAAATATGGTAACATTGTGAAATAGTATTATAATTTAAAACAACTGTTTTCTATGTGAATATATTTTAAAATGTAATTTATCCCTGTGATGCAAAGCTGAATTTGCAGCATCATTACTCCAGTCTTCAGTGTCACATGATCCTTCAGAAATCATTCTAATATGTGGATTTGCTTAATAAGCATTTCTTTTTATTATCAATGTTGCTTAATATTTTGTGAAAACTTTTTTTTTTCAGGATACTTTAATGTACATATACAATATTCAAATTAATAGCATTATGTGGATTTGCTTAATAAGCATTTCTTTTTATTATCAATGTTGCTTAATATTTTGTGAAAACTTTTTTTTTTTCAGGATACTTTAATGTACATATACAATATTCAAATTAATAGCATATTTTTTTTTAAATATAAATATTTTTAGCAACTAATCTATAAGTTGCTGTAACATTATTGTCTTTATTGTAACTTAATACACAATTCAATTTAATACACGATAAAACATCATAAATCCATACATACTATACAGGACTCAAAGGATTCAAAGTATGGACAACGATATATTAATTTGATATATTTATAAGCTTCAGCTCATTTTGCTGGATATCCATTCTGTTCACACACGTTTTATTGGGTTTTCTTTATGGGCTGACTACGAATATGAATCACTGCCAAATAAAAGGAGACCTTTAAAAGTCAAAAGTCTTTTTTGCTCTCTTTATCTTTCTTTCTCACTGTCCCTCACTTGGGAGGGTTTGTCCTTGGTAAATGATTATTACATTTTCAGCACTCGACAGAATTTACTAATTTTATTTGAGAAGCATTCCAGAATGAAAAAAAGTACCCAAAATGAAATGCAGAAACTGTATTACTCGGTCACACTTGCAAACTAAATATCATACCTAAAAATATTCAGCCTAATGTGAACCAGCCTAAACAAGCTCAAAACACCCATCACTGTTCAGTTTCTTATTGTTCACTCTACAATTGCTATTCAGTGAGTAGAATGGTAGGGCCAGACATGATGTTATCTATAGAGAACTAATTGGATAAATGGATTAAATACCAAAATAAAGCCATTCTGAATGTGAGTTTTATAAAAGAGTGTCTAAATGGCCATTTCACTAATGGTTAACATAAAAAAAAAAATAAAAAAATAAAAAGTTTAGAAAATGTTTATCCTACTGCATTGTTGTGAAAACCCCGTTTTGGACCGTTTGTTTTTGAAATAACATGAATTGATGAATCATCATCAATAAGAACAGTTTATTAAATGAATATGGTACATTTTTGCAGGCTGCAGGCTCCTTTTTTTTTCGCTTAGATGAAGCAAAGCTTACCTTCTGATCGTGGCTGTAGGCTAATGCCCAGTCCTCTTGAGTGTGATGGAAAAGAAGACTTAAGACAAAGAAGTTTAAGCGGTACTTCTGATAACTGGCACCTTCATCCGAGCTGATGAGAATACTGCTTTCAAACTCTGGGTCTGTCAACACCATTATCTGAGAAAAAAAAAACAAAAAACAAAACAGAAAGGCACAACGGTTAACCCTGTAAAGTCTGACATATGAGTACACAGAAGAATATGGATTGGAGTTACTCCAAACTCCAAAAGAGGCCCAAACTTACAACAAAATAAAATGTGGTGCAGTTGCTCATATTGATAAGACAAAACAGTGACATGTAATGTAAATCAATGAGATCTTTATAACAGTACAGCAGCCCATTCACAGAAAATGCATATAAATATCAGTTGCCACTATATCTCCCGAAATTATATATTAGAAAGATGATATTTAAATGCTTAGTTTTATGATCAAAGCTCTGTAGTTTTTATTGTTGGAGGCAAACCTTAAGTGCAGTGCAATGCAATGGTGATTAAGAGATGAGCAAATAAACATTCCACAAAAGCCTGATGTATCTATCATATTTGACGCTCACATTTTAACATGATTTTTCTAAAAATCATTCCAGTAAGTGTTCATCTTGAAATATTACCAACAAATTCACAGCAAAAAAGACACTATGTATTATGTACTATGACCTGAAGGTGGATATTTTTAGAATTATACAAAAAAAACTTTTTCTTAAAATGTATAAACTATCGATCCCACAACAGAAGGGATGTACAACAGTAGAATGTGTGCAACAGGTTTTTCAGCAGTTTGGATCATGCTAATCATTCAGAGGCTTTAGAAATTTGTATATCAATTATGATACAGTAGGCATTTTATTTATTTTTTATTCTTAGTGAACTTGCTGCTATCTGGCACCCTGCACCTTTGCTTAATCAACTCCATTTAAAGGAACATTTCACACAAACAATAGAAATCCCTCTGCATGACTTCTTCCATGTAATTTAAATTTTTAGGTGAACTATTTCTAGGCTTTGGACCACCAACTAAAGCTCATTCTAGGTCAAGGTTGACCATTGCTTCCATTCTAAATGGAATAATAATGAGAATGAGCTAAAGCTACTGTAGTTCTACTTTAGCACTGACCTTGGCTTAGTTTCCAAGCTCCTCTTAAATTGATTCTGGTTATATGTACGCACAGAGGAAAATCTGTGGATGGGCATATAGTGCTTAATTAAAACAGATGCAAAACTCTTCTGGTAGTGAACACATTGCATTATGGAAAGTGTTTCTTTTTATGCTCGTGTTTGACTGGGCAGTTGCGTCTGATCTCAGTGATAATTAAAGGGTAAGTACGTCTGCCTGCTCGTTAAATGGGCTCGCACCTGAATGCCAGGCACTGTGTTCACTGTCATTCGAAGATTGTTACAGTGCTAAAAACAGTTGCAGACATTTTCATTATGGATTTTTTACTGCTTGAAAAAATACAATGCACATGCCTTGGATGTTTAAATGGAACCTAATAGGCTCTAAAGCATTTCGGAGTACATTAGTTTAAGCATTCACACTTTTGGCTGACATCTAGACGTGATAATATTTAGCAAGCAAACTGAGAAACATAAGCTCGAGACCTCCCCAATTCTATCATCTCGCTCTTTCCCTCGCCTCCATCCGCCCTAAATGTAAACGGCTGTTTTCTTCCCTCAACTGGATTTGAATTGGAAAAACAGTGGTGCATTTGTCACTGACAAAAATCCCACCCCTCTCTCCACAAGCTTTAACTACAAATCCTCCGGGGCGGTGATTTAGATAAATTGTTTTTCATTAAGCGCCAATAAACAGCCAGCCGAAACGCAGCCAGGATTTTGTTGGCCTGGGCTCCCCGATTTTTACTGTTCATTATCGTTATAAGAAGATAGAAAGATGCCCCTTGTGTCTGCTGGTGTCTTTGAGCTTGTCAGATGCAATTAATAGATTTTAGGGTGTAATCGTTTTCCGTAATAGTGCATTGGGTAACAGCGTTTGTTATCAAAGGGAAATAATTTTTCACTTTGAGTCCCTTGTCGAAGTTTTATTTAAAAAACTTGCACATTTCTAGAACTTAACCAGAATTTAAACAAAAGTGGGTTTTCACAATGATACCATACATTGTAAAATAAATAAATAAATCAGTTGTAAATAAAAACAAAAATTATAAGGTTTAATCACAGTATACAAGAAAAGAAAATACTATTTCATTCTATTTCAAAATGTGTTACTCTGAAACCACGGCTTCTTTCTTTGCGTGCACATTTGGGCGGCATTAAGCAAATATTTTCACATAGTGACGTAGATATGTGGGGGCGTGTTAGAACGAGCTGTTTTAGGGGGGCGTGGCAGAGTCTTAACTTTGATAAAGTATATCTCTTTGGTTTTGAGACTTTAGTCTTTGCAACTTCAGGGATCTTATCTATGCACAATCAGCTTGTAACACTCCAAAGAGAAAGGAAAACTTGAAATCGTATCATATGACCCCTTTAATGTTAGTGCTAATGCATTTCTTTGTAATTGATTGTAAAAGTTGCTAACAATTTCTAAGAGAAAATTGCTTCTACAGCAGTTTTTTTCTTCTTTTTCTTTTTTTATAGTATAGAAGAACCCCAAGCACTGGTTCTCATCCAGGGGGCCGGGGCCACTAGGGGGCCTCAGCAGATTTACTAGAGGGCCTCAAAATGATTTAAAATGATTTAAAATAAGACAAAACAAGCATTCAAATAAAGTAAAACAATGCAAAATGGTTACTGTAACAAAGTTCGTAGTTCGGGAAGAAGGAGGTGGGAACCGGCGGACATTTAAACAAACTTTAATAAAATAAACATGACAGCGTGTCCCTCCTTCCTCCCGGGTTTCGGCACCAATGTAACAAAGTTCGTAGTTCGGGAAGAAGGAGGCGGGAACCGGCGGACATTTAAACAAACTTTAATAAAATAAACACAAAATAGCGCGACAGCCCCTCGCGGACGACTGTCGCGCAGAAACAAAACCAAAACACAAAATAAAGTCCAGGCCTGGTCCTCTCTCGTCTTTCACTGTCGTCACTCCTCCTTTTTATCCTTCCGGAGCTCCTCCGTGGGACTCGAGACCGGTGAGTGATGCAGGTGTCGCTCATTATCAATTACTCCACCGGCCTCGCTCCGTTCCCATGGCTCTCGGCCCTGCCCCCACTCGTCACAGTTACGTTCCTTATTTTATTGACCCCCTGAACAACTAAAGTTGGTTTTATTTGGTTATTTGTTTTGTTGAAAAACCAGGATTCCTAAATTCTTGGAAAACATGAATATATGAGGGAATATTAAAAATATGATTTCTAGAAAACTCAAGGGAAATATATTAAAAGTATTTTTAACTTAATCCATATCCTTAATCCAGTAAATTACAAACACCTGGATGTTAAAGGTTCTTCAATGAACCACAAATACCTTTTTTAAGAGTGTACTGTACATACTGGACTGTTTTACTTGACAAAGGTCTTATAGAGCTAAGCGTTACATGCTTGCGCCAGCAATTCCCATTTTACCCTGGAGATTAAATTAAGGAGCGGAGATCTTCACCCCTTACTGATGTAATATATGGATATTGGATTGACTGTAATGAACGAGTTAGAAAGTTCCAAAATTGCAAAAGTTTGCAACATTTTTGGTATGCAAGGCAGAATATTCTATAGTTCATATGCATATGGATCACTGTCAGATAACATGCTATGGAGCTGCAACCTTCTGAGTGTTTCATTAGTCAGTCGCAGCTTTTTCACACATTTTAATTTTCATCTTCTCAGACAAAACAGTCTATGGACGTGCTAAAATAGCACACAGATTGGCTTGCATCACCGATAATCATTTATTATGTTGTCTGGGTGCAACAAAATGAGTCACTTCACAAAACAGACTTAATTTACACCTACAGTATATTTAGAGCTGCCCGTGTTAATAGCAGGTGTAAATGTGGCCGATGGGTCACGACTGGGCTGTAAAGCCGGGAAACCACAAATCTGAGGTCAGACAGATACTGATTAAGCATTAGCACATAATTAAGTTTTCAATCCACCAGAACATGTCAACTGTGAACAAATGTTTCTCCGCTGAATAAAGGAGTGAGGAGAGTTGCGAAGCATAATCAATAGGGTTGAGGGATCCCTGTTATCTGCCGGCACCCAGACGGCTATCATCCCGCAAGCTAATCTACATGCAGCGCACAGTTAACGGCCCACACGTAGCCTCCCGCCGCTGAATGAGATTGGCGTCAGTGTAAACAGCAGGAAAAGGACACACAGTCTCAAATTAATCATGTCATGCCCGATCAACTGCGTTTTAGAACAAATAGAGTGGTGGAAATATAAACAGGCTCATTTGTCGGCGATCTTCGCATCAGCATGTAATCTCGTCTCCATCGAGAGTGCTAAAAGAGCCGCGCGCAAAACACTTTGGATTCTTGGCAAGTTCCCATTTAAGAGCTCAGGCAGAGCAGCGGAAATGTCATGCCTATCTCACAAATGGAAAAGTGTTGTGCTAAAGGTTAGGCCTAAACTTAGCCCTATTTTAAAATAGCCATGGGATCTGCCAGAGTCAATCCTTTTCTCTGGAATGGGACTGTGTTTGCCCACATAGTCAGGGAAATAAGCTGACGCATTAATCCAGTTTGTGCACAGAGCCGCTAAACAACAACAATACCTTCAGATGATGCACGTTGTGCGCTGTGCACGTCCATTGTCAGTGGTGGACAGTAACGAAGTAGTTTTACTTTGTTACTGTATTTATTCATAACCATGCTGAAAATAAGTCAATGTTAGCTGATGCTAACTGTCTAGCTAACGAGCTTGCTGGTGCTAAATTGAGGTCATTTTGAAAAAATAAATTCCAAATATTTTTATTCAACCACCTAGATAGATTACATCTGGGGGAAAATAAAGGATGTGATGTTCAGAACATGGTAACTACAGTAATTATCAAAGTGGGTAGTGATGCCCTCTGCGGGCATTTGGCCAGGGGTGTTTTTACACCACAGACAAGGTTTGAGAAGAAAAAAATCATTATGAAAATCTAATTATATTTTCCTTATTATATTCATTATTTCCTTATTGGTTATTTTGGGAAAATCCCAGGTATTTTGAGCAGTAGGATTATAAAAAAATATATGCTAATATAAAATTAAATGATAAAAGTAGCCTATATAAAACTGCAAAATAAACATTCATCTATCGGTACTTTTTACTTAAGTACATACAAAATCAAGTACTTTTGTACTTTCACTCGAGTAAAATTGAAAACTGAGTACTTTTATTTTTACTGGAGTAATATTTTATTATACGGATCTGTACTTTTACTCAAGTACTTGATTTGTGTACTTCGTCCACCACTGTCCATTGTGCACTTACAGTTCACAAACGCAGAGGTAAACAAACATCTAGAGCTTTTCAAAGGAGACCATCCATCTGTTCTGATGGGAAATTGTAGTAATGGGACCCATGAACAGTCTGAGGGCAGATGGGGACGAAAGTTTAAGAGATGCTTGAAGGACTAGTATGATGCTGTGGTTTATTTTGGAATATTGATGGACTGACTGTACATTTTATTCAGTGTGGATGTATCGTATTGATCAAAAATGACAGTAAAGGCATGATGCTACAAAAGATTTCAAATAAAGAATCCATACTTAATTAATCAGCACCAATTTCAGCAAATAATAATAATAAGAAACATTTATTGAGTATCACATCAGCATATTAGAATGATTTCTCACAGCAAATAAATGTTGTTCTATTAAGCTTTCTATTCAAATAATCCTGGAAAAAAGTATAATGGTTTCCTCAAAAATATTAAGCAGCTTTAATTCATAAATATTAAGCAACTGTTTTCAACATGGATAATAATAATAATAAGACATGTTTCTGGATCACTAAATCAGCATATTAGAATTATTTCTTTTTTTCAAGCTTTCTATTCTACAAATCCTAAAAGATTGATCCTGAAGACTGGACTAATGGCTGCTAAAAATACAGCTCTGCTAAATATACAGTTTACATAATTTTGATCAAATAAATGCAGTCTCGGTAAGCATTATGTAATTACCAAATTAACATTATGAAAGAAATGTTTCAGATGTTTTATTCAGAATTTTTCCTTAATGAGAACAACAACAACAAAAAAAAAGAAAGAAACTTTGAATAAGTTGCATTACGATCTGAACATTTTAACATAACTGGACATAATTATTTTGGACGACATCTGATAATAAAATGTTAAAATATTTAACAAATAACTACATTATAATATAATATAATATAATATAATATAATATAATATAATATAAATGTAGTATGCATCAGCTTTCCACACTGTTAAGGTGTGATTTTGATCCATTATTCTAAGCAGAATTGCTCCAGGTTGATCAGGTTAGTCACTCCTTTAGTGCCTTTTAGTATCTTTTTATAGGCTGCTGGAAAGCAGAAAAATAAATAAATATTTCAAAATAACTGGCTTTATTTGAAGTAGGGGAACATGGAGTCTCTCAAAGGGAAGAAAACTGAGAATAAGAGGCTGTAGGCGTCTTACCTTTCTCTTGTTGGTGGGGCAGACATAGAGGTAACTCAAAACGGTCTTGACTCCCACTTTATCATTCAGCCTCTCATAAGTGCTGCCATAATCTGTTGATCTGCAAATAGAAGCACAATTCTCAATATGGTATTCAGAATGCATTTATTTTTGTTGTTTGTGTTTGCGTGTGTGTGGATATCAATGCTCCAGTCATGACCTGGCCAAAATGAGTACATTCTCCAGCAAAATTAATCTAGATTGGAATTTGCAGACCTCAGCCGAACTCAAACGATTGAACAGATTTCAGCAAATTAAATTCATAAGAGTGTTTCACAGTTTTTTTTTTTGTTGTTGTTGTTCTTTTTCCTGGCTATTTATATTTCCCCGATCCTCAGCAATGAGCAGAAAAGCTCGCTAAGACAAACACAATCTGCTGAGCATATGCTGAGCAATTCTGCCTTGTTCTACAGACAGCAAAACTAACATCATCCTGCAACCTCTGGGCATAACAGTGACAACTGATCCAGAGAATACACTGATTTGTTTAGAAAGGCTAATGATATTTACAGTCTTGCAATGCAGACGTGAGTATGGACGGCAGGGACATGTTCCTAACAAAGATAAGAGACTACTGAGTAAACGCTACCTACATTTCTGACGTGAGTAGTATGAAAGTATTTTAGTACTAGGAATGCTGTCTAGCATGAGCTGCTAATGCACGATGATGGCAGAGGTGTTTATACCCTTTGTTGCATTCAAAACAACAGGTGCTAGTAACTAAGAAAATACACTGTAAAAAATAGGGCAAAATGTACTGTATTAATTTGAAAAACAAAAAATGCCTGTGCATTGCAGGTGTTTTACCGGTATTTTGAATATTGACAAGTATTAGTCTGCTGAACTTTACATGTCATACAGTGTAGCAGCAAAATAAAATAAAATAAAATAAAAAAACACCCAACAACAACCATGTATATACATTCATACATACATACATAATATTGTGTATAATTGTATATTGGATAAGCAAATAAAAAAATGTCAGTAATATAATGAAGTAACATAATGAATATGAAAAGATTAAAGAAGAAAAAAATTAATAATTTATCAAATCTAATATTTGGTGTTCTTCTGTCAACTGTCCAAAAATCCACTTCCCTTACCTGAGATGAGAGCTTAATGGAAAGTTTTGGAGGCCTCACATCACTTTGCGATTTCCTTTTCTTGATCTCGCTCTCCCCTGCAACCCCTTGTTTTATCTCACCAACTGTGTCTTGCCATTCCTGCCATCTCTATTTTTGCTTCCACCTCTCTTTTTCTCCTGAGCATTGCCTATTTCAGCTGAGTAAAATTTGCCTGTGGCCCATGTCACGCCCACCAATTTCTCTCTCCTATTCAGCCTCTTTGTGGGAACATAACGTTCTTTAACACCACATGCACACGTATACTTGCTATTTAAGCCTTAAAGGAAACGTTCACCCAAAAATATCAATTCTGTCATCATTTTCTCAACCGCACGTCGCTCCAAACCACACCTATGACTTTCTTTCATCCGAGGAACACAAAAGGTGAATTTTTGAATAATATACTGGCCTGATTCTTTCAAAATAACTGACAACTTTTGTGTTCCAAGTCTCACAAAAACTACATGCTATATGGAAATGTAATATATGTCCTATATCAAGAGTGATATTGGCATATATGTTACCTATAAGGCGATGTATCATTTTCACATATGCACATTCTCTAGGTAAGTGAAGATATAAATTTATAACATAAATAAAATCATCATAGTAAAATTTGTATATGTACATATGTTAATAATATCTATATTTTTATTTTTAGCAACCATGTACAATATGCATTATTTAAATATTTTATTTACACGATTATTAAAACAACAAATATTCAAGAAATCTGTATGTCAGTATATGTTTTTGTAATCAATTTATTTTATATTTCAGTATATGAATGAACATGTATTGATGTACATATCATTTATTTCCAAAATGTGTTACACATACATAAACATACATGTTAATACATTGTTTATTATTTCCATAACTTGTTTCAATTTCTAATCGGTTTCATATATGTTTTTAATTCATATGAAATATATGTCATATATGGAAATTTAATATAGACACATAAATTGCATTTGCATATCATGTGAGAAACTGAGACCTAAATTCATGACTAAAAGCTGCTGTTTGCAAGAGTTATTAACAAGTAGCGAGTAGCAACCTCTGATTCATGAATGAATCATTATTTTGAATTGGATCTTTTCATTTAATCATTTCAAAACCAGTCTGATTAATTCATTTGCAAAATAGACTCATTGCCTCATGATTAATTTCAATAAATGACTTCAATTGCATCCTGTTCGTCATACAAAGCTACTGTATGGCTTTAAAGGAATAAGGCGATGTATCATTTTCACATATGCACATTCTCTAGGTAAGTGAAGATATAAATTTATAACATAAATAAAATCATCATAGTAAAATTTGTATATGTACATATGTTAATAATATCTATATTTTTATTTTTAGCAACCATGTACAATATGCATTATTTAAATATTTTATTTACACGATTATTAAAACAACAAATATTCAAGAAATCTGTATGTCAGTATATGTTTTTGTAATCAATTTATTTTATATTTCAGTATATGAATGAACATGTATTGATGTACATATCATTTATTTCCAAAATGTGTTACACATACATAAACATACATGTTAATACATTGTTTATTATTTCCATAACTTGTTTCAATTTCTAATCGGTTTCATATATGTTTTTAATTCATATGAAATATATGTCATATATGGAAATTTAATATAGACACATAAATTGCATTTGCATATCATGTGAGAAACTGAGACCTAAATTCATGACTAAAAGCTGCTGTTTGCAAGAGTTATTAACAAGTAGCGAGTAGCAACCTCTGATTCATGAATGAATCATTATTTTGAATTGGATCTTTTCATTTAATCATTTCAAAACCAGTCTGATTAATTCATTTGCGAAATAGACTCATTGCCTCATGATTAATTTCAATAAATGACTTCAATTGCATCCTGTTCGTCACACAAAGCTACTGTATGGCTTTAAAGGACTTGAAATATTCAACAAATATACTTATATGCTTTCATGGTGCTTTTGTGTCCTCTTTGAAGCTTCTTCCCTCATTCTTTGCCAGAAAACAGATGACTCAGAGAATTTGGCCTCTAAAATGTCACGTACCATTACGGATGCTTTTGTTAAACTACTTGTGAACAAGTTAAAGTTGAAAAATATCACACGTGACAGCCCCACAAGACAAACATTCAAATTCCTTTGGAGGCCTACACAAAGTAAATAATTCATGCTCTCCCGATGACTTGCATGTAAAATATTACCAAAGCAAAAGCAAGTGAATAGGCTCAGCTTTTCAAGTCTGAATAATTTAGTAGGAGAAATGAGCTGTTAGCCAACACAATCCTCCCCGACGCTCTAATACTTCTCCATCACGTTAGCTTGCTGTTCGCAGCAATAGTGCACATACAATAGTGTTTTCAACACCATCACTGACTCCACACCAAAGTGACAGTCTCAGAAACACAGACGGAGGCACATCCCACACACCGCTTCCAAACAGAGGCAATCTAATTTGAGACACCATGAAGGATTCCCATTTTCCATCGCTCAATTCCTTTTTGCCTCTTCCCAGGAGCAGGTCCCTACGCCAATAGGGCAGTAATGGATTTCAGTGAAATTACAATACAATCTTCCCTATATACTGTTTTGTATTCTGAAGTGGCAGCAAAAAAAAGGCACAATGATTATTCACAGTAAAGAGACCGTCACTTCATCTAGGTATTAACGAAAGGGAAAGGTGAAGTGAGAAGTAAACAAAGGAAATATATAGAGTAAACGCCAACAGCCCTACAACCAGGGCTGAAAGTGTATATGCTGTACAATGGCAGAAATTTATCAAATATCTGTTTCTTACTATGCAGGTTATGCATGAACCTGTATTCAGAGCCAAAACTATCCATATTGTAGTGCAAGTTTTACTGTTTATGCACTGATGGCAGGTTTATTTTATGAATGCAACATTTTGCTTTGAATCCATCAACTTGATTATTATTATTAGGATGCACACATCTTCATGGCACTCCACCCCAAAAACAGATAGATAGATAGATAGATAGATAGATAGATAGACAGATAGATTGATTCATGGCACTCCACACCGAATAAACAAACAAACTAATAAATAAATAAATAAATAAATAAATACATAAATATTTTTTTTTTACTTTATTTATTTATTTATTTTTTTAGGATGTTAGGATGTAAAAAGCTTCATGGCACTCCACCCCAAATAAGAATGTAAGAATGAATGAATGAATCAATCAATCAATCAATGAATTAATGAATTAATGAATGAATTAATTAATTAATGACAATTATTATCATTATTATTATTATTATTATTAGGATGTAAACATAATAATGGCACTCCATCCCAAATAAGAAAACAGAAAACAAACAAACAAACAAACAAACAAATAAATAAATAAATAAATCCGCATTATTCAAACAATCGCATGGTGTATTAGCCAACAAAATACATTACATCAATAGTTTTTAAATTCAAATACCAGCAAAATAATAACCATACAAAACAGAAGTAGAGGGGGAAATACCAGGGAAAGAAACTATTGTTGCTTTATTGTATGTATTCTTCTTGGGATGCTTTTATTTTATGTTAAAGCAAAAGATGATTCAAGGCTTTGCTAAGTGGTTTCATTTAAAAAAATTAAAAAAATAAATGTAAAGATAAAGAAAATGAAGCACAGTATCACTTTCGTTATGGTACCACAGCAGGAAATGAGTTCATCGTATCTTGTCTTATCATAAGCCTCTAATTTAAGAAGACTGAGGTGGTTCATATTTTTATAGTAATATCATGACATTCTGAAAGAATAATGTTCATAATGTTCATGTTAGTGGTATCATTATTTTTATGATGTCAGACGACACAGGAGTTGAATTATGAAAGTGTGAGCCGTTAAGAGTAACCTGCTATAAGTGGTGTGACGCTTTCCTGCATTTGAACGTTGT